TGGTTGAACTCGTATCAGAATGGGTGTTCGGATTTCATAAAAATTATGTCGGGTTCCAAGGGGCGAGCCACGCGTTGACTTTTGTTGACTTTTTGGAATAAATTTTTAAGTCGACACATTATTATCCGGAATTATTTTTGATGAATTTTAATAAAGTTATACAATTAATTTGGATAGATTTGAGCTGTCAGGAGGTCAATTAAAGCAAGAAGTCTATTTTGGAATACCGGCCTAACTTCAAAAAGGTAAGTATCTTGTTTAATCTCGAGTGGGGGAATTACACCTTTGGCGTCGAGTCTTATGTGCCATTTATAAAATGTGAAAATCCGGGTAGACGAGGTGACGAGTACGCACTCGGGCTTATATATACAAATTTTATTGGATTAAAGTCTTAGGCATTATTGTGTAGTAAATCGGGTAATTGTTGATAATTATTAAATTATTTGTTTGCCATGCCTAAATCCTTGTTGTTGAATTTGTTTTTATGTGACAATTTGATGTGATTGTTACTTGAAAGTTTGTGTAATTTCGTGAGTATTGTTGGTTTGATATTCATGGGATTTAATTTTATTATGGATTTTTCCTCTGCAAATAATTAATTAAATGAACTTAAGAAGATGTGTTAATATAGTTATCTAAATCTAGATTAATAAAGGTGTGCCCTATATGATTATTTTTCTATCTCTGTTAATTATTTTTGAGGTTTCATATATACATTGTATGGGCCTTGGGCTATTTGTTATGAAATTAATTGATTTTGTTATATCCTTAGAATTTGTTGTGGCCATTGGGTAAACTATAATGTAAATTGATTTTGTTATGTTGCCGTGATAATTTACCGTGTAAATTATTATGTTGTGCGAGTTATTATTTTGAGGAGATAAGGGTGGCATTTCACTGTTGATATTATGTGGGTATAAGGGTGGCATTTCACTGTTGTTGTGTTTGTTGGAATATTGTTTGGGCGGAGCGATAAGGGCGGCAATGGGAGCGATAAGGGCGGCAATAGGAGCGATAAGGGTGGCTATTGATATTTTCTGGGCGGAGCGATAAGGGTGGCTATAGGAGTGATAAGGGTGGCAATAGGAGCGATAAGGGTGGCTATTCTCAGGGACAATATGTGATGATGTGGAGTTGTGGTGTTGGTGATCTTCATGTGATGTTGTGATTTTCTTGTGTTTATTTTTATACCTTGTGCAATTTGTCTTGTTATTGGTAAATTGATAACAATCTGATTTATGTTGAAATTGAGAGCATGTGGCTATTGCTATGCAGATTATAAAATAAAATATGGGCACGAGGTGTTGTGAGTAAATAATGAGGATATTGGCACGTGAATTATCCATGCAGTTGTGATATGATATGAGGGCACGACGTGCCGGGGAAATTTGATGATTTTATTATGGGCACGAGATGCCTTAGAAATATGAAAATGGATTGAGACCCGTATTTTTAAGATTATGAAATGAGGTGTCACGGGGTAACTTCTTAATTGAAAGAATTATATTCAAAATATTTATTTGGAAGGATTTGTACTTAGAAAGTATTATATGAAAGAATTGTATTTGAAAGATATTTATTTGAGGAAATTATATTTGAAAAGATTTATTGAAAGAATTATATTTGAAAGATATTTATTTGAGGAAATTTATGTTTGAAAAGATTTATTGAAAGAATTATATTTGAAAAATAATTACTTGAGAAAATTATATTTGAAAGAGAGTTATTTGGAAGAATTATATGTGAAAGATATTTATTTGGAGAACTTAATTTAATTGGATGTACATGTATTCATTATTTATTAAGCGATATTAATGGTGTTCTTGTTGTATTATTGTACATATTACTGGGATTTTGATGTTGCTATTATTGTTATTTGTTTTCTATTATTTTGTATATTATATTGCACATGTTATTAGACTAGTGAGTGTCTTGACTGTACCTCGTCTTTACTCTACTGAGGTTAGTCTTGATACTTACTCAGTACCGACCGTGGTGTACTCAAACTACACTTCTGCACATTTTTGTGCAGAGCCAGGTATTGGAGATATCGGACTTTAGCATAGTTAAAGCGGGATCGTAAGGATTCAAGGTAGAGCTGCTTGGTCGTCGCAATCCCTTGGAGTCTTTTTATTTCATTGTACTGTTAATTTGAAATCTAGCGGTATTGTATATTCGGTCCTCGTGATCATTCCATATATTCAGTTAGAGTTCGTGACTCAGTACTATCAGTCTTGGGAAATTGTATGTTCATATTTGTTCCGATGTTAGTTTTGATTACTTATTTAATTTAAAAAAATAAATGGCTTCAAAATGTAATTAAAATTGGCTTACCTAATCTTAGAGACGAGGTGTCATTACAACGCATGTGGTGAGATTTTGGGTCGTGACAAAAGTAGTATTCTACATATCATTGATAGAGTGAGGGAGAGGAATATTAAGGTTTCTCGCTGTTATAGGGAAGGTAATATGGTAGTCGATGCACTTGCTAAATACGCTACCACAATACATCAAAATACCATTTTTACGCAAAAAGGTGATCTACCTAGAGAAGCCAGAGGAGCACGTAGAATTGACAAGCTGGGGCTGCCAATATTCAGAATCAGACCAGTGAAATATGAAGGATGGAACTTTGATCCACCATGAAGTTACATGTTTTTAATTTCCGCTATGACCTTGTTCCAGTTTTGGACTAGGTCTTTTTTGTAACAGTTTTCTTTGAATTAGTCCTTGTCTTCAGCTTGTTTATCAAGGTAGATAGGTATTAGTTCTAAGACTGTTAATTTTAGTTGGCCTTGATATGGAGGTAAGGTTTTATGCCCCTTTTTGGTATCTTATAAACAAGGTAGGGGTCATTGTCAAACCCCCCACCACCAAAAAAAAAAAAAAAAAAAAAA